ATTTTTAGGGCCCCTCCCACCCCAAACCATTCTGTGATTCTATGATTCAAGTCTGAGATCCCACCCCACCCCTTCCTTGGAGGCCAGGGGCCAGCCAGGGGCTGTGTGTTTTGGAGCTCAGGTGAACAAGGAGGTAATTTCCCAGTAAGGTTTGTTTCGGCAGTGCTGACGTCTCCCCACGGCCGTGTAAAGTCTGACCCGGCAGCGGGCGCAGGTGACCTCATCCGTCAGGGACGGTGATGCAAGGGACGTCTGAGATCCCACCCCACCCCTTCCTTGGAGGCCAGGGGCCAGCCAGGGGCTGTGTGTTTTGGAGCTCAGGTGAACAAGGAGGTAATTTCCCAGTAAGGTTTGTTTCGGCAGTGCTGACGTCTCCCCACGGCCGTGTAAAGTCTGACCCGGCAGCGGGCGCAGGTGACCTCATCCGTCAGGGACGGTGATGCAAGGGACGTTCCTCTGATGAGTCACTTTGCTCAGCCCGTGGGGAGCAGCCCAAGGGCAGTGCTCCCCGTGATAATGCGGCTGGGCAGACAGGGAAACGACTTTGCCGAGGGCAGGCAGCCAGAAGCTCTCGGCTGCCCGCACGGGAATATCTTCCCCTGGAGCTGACGGTGCTCTGGGGGGATGCTAGTTTGTGCTTCCGAGGGGTGAAAAGTGCTGGACCCACGTGTTCGCTTTCCCTCCTCTGCAGGGTTGTTTTTCCCTGGTAACATCAACAATGGAGTCAAAAATGAGCATTGTGGCTGGAATCTCCTTTGGCATCGCGTGCTTCCAGGTAAATCACCTTGCCTGGCACAGGAGGAGCGCAGAGTGAAAAGTGACGTGTCTCTGGAGGAATTTAATTTCCCTGCAGTCTGGTGTGTATACAAAAGGCACGGCCAGTTTCAGCCAGGGAGGAGTAGCTGTTCTGCAGATTCCCCTTGGGTTTAATCTCACCGCTCTGCAGCCTCCAGTCTCCTAAACCCACCGGCGCTGTTTCTGTGAGCCCAGGTTATTTGGGAAGAGCTTTTGTCTGCAACAACTGACTTGAGGAAACCTGAATGGAGCCTGTGCTGGGCGAACTCCCTGTGTTTGCTGTTGGCAGGGATCAAATTGCGCCCTTCCTTTTCCTACCCACCGGCCTTCCTTTTTATCAGGGTGGCATTTTGGCATCACTTCTGTGCGGCTGGGTCCCTGTGAGCGCCCGCGGTTGTGCTTGAGGCTCCCGCCCCGCACGCCGCCTTACCCTGCGTTTGCATCCCCTCCCTCCCGCTCCCCAATCTCTCCTTGTCTTTATCCGGTAGGAC